GTGACAGGTACTATGTCCGTCTTTAATTTCGCTTTTCTCCCTCAATCCCGCATGAATTTTAAAATAATAACTGAATTAAACAACCAAATAGGCGACAGAAAGTCGAAGGTCGAGAAACATTAAAAGGCAGCACAGTCACCCCGCGGGATGGAGAAAGATCATTGTGATTTTGGCGTTGTGGAAATCAACTTTTTGTATTCAAGACTACAATAGTCTAACGAAGTGCATTATATCTGGCTAAATAACCAAACAACTACCTACGCTTTAGTTGACTAATACGGTCATTACAGACGATAAAATACAATGCATAACAGAGTAATAGTGCTTGTTGCTTCTGTTACCTTTAACCATTTTCTTTCCATGCTTCTTTGTCCACCATATTGAATAAGTAGAATGACAGAGGATTTCCCTGTTTAACATCTTTTCTCGTTATGATATTCCCCTTTCATTTACTACCGAGAGTGAGCTCATACGGCAGTTCGAACACAAATCCATTATGTATCGCATAAATGCGTAAAGATAAAGATTGTTTGCATGAAATGTGCAAACACTTTAAACCAGATAAACTCTGTACGTTTAGCGTTCCAATCTCAGTGGTCACATATACAGAAAAACTCTTCCTCTGCTGGCTCAAATTGGGCCGCAACTCTATCACACGAAGTTCTGCGCTGGGAGGATTTATTGTGACATGGAAGACTTAAATTTAAGATGGCTGGGTAGCTTGAAGTAGATGCCAGAAAAAAAAACAGTCATCAAGTAATATACCTTCAAGATTTCAAACAAAATTGCCCATTCTCAAGATTTATAGGGGTGGGTTATGATTCTAAAATTATGATTTGTTAATCTCCATATTCGATATGTTTTGTAAGCTACTATTACTGTAAGCAGAATGACAAGACACATTGTGCTATTTTCTGCGACAAGACATGTCTGATGAGAGACAAGGAGCACGGAATTGCAATAACATGATGGGCATTGAACAAATTTCCAATGTAAAGCGTTGTCTTTTAGATGAATAGGCTATCTTAACAAATTTAAGTTGCAAAATACTTTTAAAAGATATATAATTGAAAATGATAGTAATCTGATGAAGTATGAGTACGCCAGCAAAAACTATAACGCCCACTACATTAGATACATTCTAAATCTTACGATAGTAGTTCACTATTCCAATACGATAACTTATCACATTTAGAAAAGTTACAAGGCAATGATATAACAAGTACGTCTATTACTTTAGTGGACATTTACAAAACATTTTAACACGTGTCCAATGTTCGTTAAAATTTTATCTCTCGCCCTTAAGTGTACATTACGGTATAAAAGTTACACAACTGTGTTTAAAAAATTCTATAAATCTTCAAAAAAATATTCACCTCGATTACATTAGATTTATGAACATTTCGGAGACATATTGCTATTGAAACGTAGAAATTTATAGATTTTTTTTTAAATAATTGAAAGAAAGTTAAGAGAAGCTAAATTTTACAGGCTAAAAAAATCCGTTTGGTCGTTGCTATTATTAATTTTGCAGTACTTGCAATAATCCTTAAAAATTAATAAAATTATACTTTTGCACAATTTATATGTACTTTATAAAGGGACACTTACAAGATTATAACATTATGCCATTTGAAGTCTCTTTTATTCTATATAATGCGTCCTTTAAGTATCTTATGATTCTTTAAGTCGTGGTTTTGGAATTATTATATAGGGTTCATCTAATTTTTCACTGAATGCTGTCTCATTGCTTATTATTATGCGGTGCTTCTTTTTCTTTTTCCGCTGTAACTGACATGAGGATTTTTTATTTAAAAACCACATTATACTTCTGTAATTTGAATCAACTGTCAGCATTTTCTTCTTACTTTCCACTAATCTAATCCACTAATACAGAGTTTGTAATCTATATCGCCAAAATTATCCACCTTTGATAAAATTTTGTTCGAAACCGTTCCAGCGCCATCTGTGCTGTAAGAGTGTAAACACTCATTCTTACAAAACTTGCAGTATACCACAGATACTATTGGAAAGTGTCTAGTTCGTAATACCATGCCTTTGTTTATATTATCTGTGCAACAAGTCCTTTGGGAGATAATTATATAAACAAAATACAGATAAAAATGGTTTAATCACCTTAAAAATGACGATTAGTTTGTTGACAGCAAGATGCGTTTTGGTCGACTTTCCAGTACCGTTAGAGTGTTTGCGAAATAGAAGAGACTTATGAATACCAAAAGTTGTGTTTCGCCAATTCTACCGAGATTTATTTGGGAACGACTTGCGCGTGTGCCAAATTTATTCCAAAAATCTGACGACTGAGCAAATTGTGGTTCAAATATTTTTGGGGGACCCTTATAAGGGTTCATCTAAACGTTTCGGTGCCCTTTTAGTCCTTCATAGTCCGACAGGCAATAATTATCATCATCGGTATCATCCAGGTCTTTACTTACTCATTTACCTTAATTTTGCAAAGACATAAGAAAGACTAGAAGACACAATAACATTCTTAGAATACGCAATTCCTCAATTTGTTTTTGTATTCATGGAAAATAATTGTGAAGTTTGTACAAAAAAGTTAGTTTAAGTGTGTTGGCAACATTGAATAGATTCAAATACTTTTTTAGGAATCAATAATACTCTTTATTATGGCAGAACGTTTTTCACGCTATATTTTACATTAGTACACTTTTTATTATCCAATATTTTAATTAGTAAGCTAATAAGATATTGAATAATAAAATTAGTAACCTACACAAATGCGCACTGGCAGTTATCTTTACCGCTCAACGACCTTCAGTGTGTCGTGTGGTGACTAATTTCACCAACAATTCTTTGCAACAGTACTGTTTGTGGTTATGATCTAGTACTCATTTCTATAGGTTATAAAATAACCTTTAACAAAGTGGTACATATATCTACCACTAATACTTAGAAGGGGTAAAACTCTTTATGAATCTTATTGACTTCGTTTATCTATTGTTATGTTATTATTTTGTAGATTAATACTTAAGTACTAATTTGTTTTGCATTTTTATAAATTGAGCAACATTATGACTGTTTGCTATACATAATATAGAGAATTCGTTCCAATAGCTATATGTTTCCTGCAACTCGTAATCGGTGATTTTTTTCAAAAGAATCACAAAACTCTTTTTAGAGCTGTGGTCTATATATTTACATATAAATACGTAACTAACACGAAACACTTTATGGTAAATTTATATTTCTAAATGTAGAGGGATAGGGCACATTTCGCAGGCAAGAAGTTTAAAGAATTTTCCCAGCCAATATCACAGCGACTTCAAAAAATTAATCTATTCACATGCGAAGCCTTCGTTATTTTTTACCACAGCAAAGTACTTCCTCGCTCTGTTTTAACTAAAATGGTAAAGGGTAATCATATGCTATAGATTCTTCTGACCTTTAGCAAAAACTTCAATTAACTTGAGGCAAATTACATCTTCATCTGAGTTTATAGGGTTTATTCGGGAATTTTTTATTCCTGAGTATTAGTCTGTAACTGCAGCATATATTAATCAACCCTCAACCGCTGATATCATCCGTGACTGAGGGTAGTGATACAAGATCGCCTTTGATGTCTGTTGCAGTTGCAGACGAAATATCAGAAACTCTTCTGTAACATTGCTACAAACCCGAATAAAAAAATCTACCTTTACATGAGAGTTCCGCTAAAATCTGCACTCTTTTAACAAGTAGTATAATTTTATTAGTTAAAAAAATAAATAAACAAGCTTAAACAAAATAGTGAAGTAAAATAATACAATTTCTTAAGGCACTGGATACTATTTTATAGTTACTTACACTGGATACAGTTAATATACTTTATACATAGTTTTGCTCTTTCTGTCCATAATGTATATTGATCACAGAAATTTAGAAAATTAAATCACACAAAAGACCATCGAGTACAATAAACCAGCATATCTATGTTTTATAGACCTGAAAAAGACTTTCGATCGCATTCAAGTCGAAGACGTCTTACACCTACTGTATAAAAGAAACATACCAATCAATATTATACAAACCATCGAAAACATCTACCCCCATAATCGAATACAGGCAAAGATAAATGGAAACTAACACAGTGCATACCAGTACAAAGCGGAGTTAGACAAGGTGACTCGTTAAGCCCACTTCTCTTTAATATAATAATGGACGAAATAATACAAGCAGTACGTAAAAGTCATATCTACAGAATGGGGAACAAAGAAATCCAAATATTATAATATTAAAAAACAAGAATCTATAAAGCAGCAATTAGACCTATATTGACATACACGGCGGAGACAAGACCTTACACATCTAAAACGAGACGACTGCTAGAAACAACAGAGATGAAAAGACTCAGACGAATATCAGGAAAAAGTCTGTTGGATAGGGAGAGACGCGAAAACATGAGAAGAGCATGTAATATAGAAGACATAATTGATGGGTGACAAAACGAAAACAGTAGTGGAACGAACACATCAGTAGAATGGCAGAGGATCGAATAATACGAATAGCACGAGAACGTCACCAAATGGACGAAGAAGTATTGGCAGACCAAGAAAAGGATGGTGCGACAATTTAAACAATTTAGGGTGCTAATATTGAAGAAGAAACAGGTTTTAAAGCCTACATACAAGAAGGAAGAAGAAGAAATTAAAGGACCATAATGATACCTGTTCCTCACATTTAATTTTTGTTTTATTATCATTTAACCATGAGCATGGCGCAGTCACATCAACATTGCAATTTTTAAATAATTATAAGCTTAATACATTTATATTCAATTACAAGTTTAATATCTCAGGACCTGTTTCTTTATTTATAAATTAATATAAAAATTTATATATTTAAACGCATCTTTATAGTTTACATTTTAGAGGCTTTATCCTTAAATTCTTTGGAGATATCTATGAATATCGTATTTAAATTTTCCATTTGATTATATATTCAAGAGTTCATAAAATCTTGACAAAAATATAAAAACAGAGCGGGGACTATTTAGTTACGTCAGTACATAATATATTCAATTTTTGAAAAAAAAACTTCCGTTTTGTCTAATGCACAATTAAATGCTACGCTACAGCCATTTTCAATCGCAGTTAAAGGGATGAACAAAAAAGTAAGTCTGCTTCATACAGAAGAACCAACATAAAAATGATTCTTTAAAATCAAATATTTTATAAAAATATACCGACAAAACTGCATTGAAAATTGTATTTAACGTCAGAAATAAATACTTGTGCATAGATAACAATAACTTCCATAAGTAATATACCTTTTACGTCTTTTTAGACGTAAACCAAAGATCAAGATCGAGATCTTAAATTATATGATTTGCTATAACCTGGCCTTTCAGACTCCAAAAAATCGGAATCCAGGCTTGGAATTTTCGACCGGTTCATTATAGAAGGATGACAACAATTGTAGTAAACAAGTAAAAATATAATACCAAGTAAAAATGTGACTATCTGTCCCCCAGCTGCTCCATAATACAGCATAGGATTGTCGACAGAATTGTTAGTAACACACCATACTACCAGTGCTGCTGTGTTTTCCATAAAGCATACTAAATAATAAGCTAAGTAGACATAACGTGTTGGTCCGTCTCGTGGAGATATAAACGCCAATACGTATGCCAGTCCTAACGCTGTTGATAAAAGCAATTCCTCGCATCGGCTACCACATGCTGCTGTTTGATGTTGGCCCAAGGCAAGCCATACGGACATTACACCCCAATGTAACGCACACACGCAACCCATCCAGGCAGGGAATATTGAAGCTAAAAGACTTAAGGCTAGGACGCGGGACACTGAAACAAAAAATATATAAATAAAAACTATTGACTTTATTATCTTAACAAACTAAGTGAGAGATTACTTTTGTATGACAATATGTAAATAAAAGAAAGAAAATGATTTCAACATTTTTGCAGGAAAAATCGAAAAGGCGTTTGTCAAGGTCCGAAATAACAAATCGTTTCACTTAGACTGGAAGCGTGGACACATAAGTGCACTGAAAATCGACTGCATCATTATTTAGATTGCTGTCAATTAAGTCACGATGGCGAATAAGGTAGCCAAAAGGATATCCAACGATCTATAGCGGTCAGTCATGGAACTCGAAGAAGAAAAACAATGAATTGGTATAACTAATTTGAAGGTAAATAATCTGTAAGTAACCGTATTGTATGTAGGTCAAAGCAACCTATATCATCATCATCATCTTTCGCTCGACAATCCTCTGTGGATCTTGGCCTGCTCTAAGATTCGTCGCCATTCTGTTCGGTTTTTGGCAACATGTTGTAATCTTCTGATTTTTAATATTCGTAAGTCGGTTTCAACTCCATCTAACCACCTAATTCGCGATCGGCCTTTGCTTCTTTTTCCTACAGGTGTTCCTGTGGTTAGCTTTTTAGCAATCGTATTTTCTGGCATTCGTATTATGTGTCCAGCCCATCTAAGTCGCTGTGTTTTAATGTACGTTATGACATCTGGCTCATCAAAGAGCTGATACAATTCAAAATTATATCTTCTGCGCCACTGCCCTTGGTCGTTTACAGCTCCAAAATATTTTGCGGAGTATTTTACGGTCCAAATATTCCCAAGTCTTTCATCTTTCTGCGTTAGAGTCCATGTTTCTGCTCCATATGTGAAGACCGGCCTCAGCAATGTTTTGTATATAATAATTTTAATTTAAGCAACCTATATGATGAGTTTTATTTCCCTTTCCTTCCCAATTTCCTGGCGAATTATGGAATTACAGCACAGCTCTTATCCTACAATTTGTTTTAGAAAGTTTAGTCCTCCTTTGGCGATACTGGAGGGTGTAGTGGATATGCTTAGGAAAGCATACCTTAAAAATGCTACAAAAACCCAGGAAAAGTGTCATAATAGTTGCATTAATATTTTACAGTTACAATTGTTCCGTGGTTGTGTGGAAGCGTGTGTGTTAAACTTATTTACCACGGAAACAAAAATAATAAAATTGAATAAAACGTAGAAAAAAGTGTTAATAATATTTTATTATCGTAAAGCGTAATTAATTCTCGAAGGGAAGGTATTTTTTGTATATGTATCGAGGACCGATGCAAATGGTGTCTCAATAATTACTAAAAACTGAAAACTAAACTACTACATAGAACACGCGTTCTATGTTTTTAAAAGCCAGACGATAAACTTTTATTATCGGGTCGGTCGTTATATTATATTTCGTTCCCATAAATGCAACGCACTCAAAATGTATGATTAAAATGTTGAGCATATCTAATATCTGTAGTAAATAAACATATTGAAAAATATATTTCAACTTTTATTTCATTTCTATTTCTTATGTACATAAAGCATTTGCGAAAATGTAAATTTTAATACGAAATCGTTTTATTTCATTTTTGAATACAAAAGTTTAATTATTCGTAATTAGCTTGTCGCTATACAATTTTACAGGAGAAAATGACTTTCGAAGTGGAACTGAACCAGTGGAACAGCTTCTGTACTCGATGTGGAAAGTAAATGGGAACCTTATGCATTATTTTTCCCAGAACATGGTGCTGTAACTCTTATTTATCATGTCAGGAATCATAAATAGTTGATTTAGTCATGATCATGCATTTAGTTTTCTTCAAATACATCCTTAGTCTGTATTCATGACAGTATGCATTTTAGGCGTTGCATTACGTTCTGTAAATCATTGTTGTTATCCGTCATTATTACTGTATCACCTGCAAAATGCAAGTTATTCAAAACTTCGCCATTGACAGAATACCTTCTATTGAATCCGAGAGCGCTTGATTAAAGAGTAGTGGCGACAGCAAGCAACCCTGGCGGACTCCTCTCTGTGTTTTGACATCTCGGGTATTCTGATTGTCAACTCTTACCTTAACTGTTTGATTCCAATATAGATTAGAAATAATTTTTATTCAGGACTGTAAATATTTTTGCTTTTTAATATATCTACAAGCTTTTTATGTTAAACCTTATCAAGGTTCAACATAAAACCTGTAGATCAAAATCTACAAAACATAAATACATGTCCTGATTTACGTCCATGCATCTCTGGGCCAGCACATTCAAGCCAAACAAAGCATTTCTTGCGCCCACATCATTTCTAAAGCCAAATTGTGTGTCACTAATTTTATATTAAAGGGTTTTAACAATTCTGCTGTGTATTATTTTCAAAAATGTTCTATGTACGGCAGTAGTCAGTCTATTTGTATTATATGTTTACGGTTATAAGTTTCTGGGAGAAAAATTATATTACGATGCAAAAACGGCCAAAATCGTTATTTTTGCACTTTTAGGTTAGGATATTTCAGAAACTACAGCCAATTTGGCAATTTGGAGCTCAGACTCGGATTCAGTGCACAAAAAACCTTCTGAAAACTATATTTTATTCTCAGGGTCCGAATATTGGCCAAACTGTGTAATCTGAATCAAGATCGGTTCAGAAAGAATCGGTATACGTCTTGTGAGATATTTAAAAAAACTTTTACCGCAAGCACAATTTACAGGTACCTAGGACTACAACATTGTGGATGTATTCCGATAATATTTTGGTATCGCAATAAACGCTGGTCCAATCTCTTAATGTCCGTTGATAATATAGGTGTAATTTAATCAAAAATTTGTTTATTTCTCATGAGATTGGTTATATATTATCTAATCAGCTTTTTGAGGTAATGTTTCTATTTTAAAAGGGTTACTCTCAAATTGCGCAATCATATTTCCGCCAATTTTACGATTATTTTTTTTAAGGTAAACATGACATCACTGTCATGGTTAACAAGTAAATTATCTACTGCAATAAAAAAATATCGCTTTTCTCTTGAAACAATTAATCTGTTTAATTTCAAAATAAATACTGTAATATTTATTATCCTAGATAACAATTGAATCACTAGTCATAACTAGAGATTGTGTATTTTTTAACATAAATATTCTTGTCAGATGCTTGTAATGTTAACAAGTGGATTTATATTGTTTCTTCATATAACGTAGATAGTGCATGCTGCTACACTGTTGTTTTGGTTTTAGTCCTTGAAATATCTGTTGTACGAGACTTCGCCTATGTAATTAGTGCTTCTTTTTCATCATGTACCATGTCCTTTCAATACGTTAGTTACTATCATAGCTATCTTAATTTTATTCACTGCCACTACAGTCTTCGCCGTTGTTTTGGCTATTTGTACTATTCGCTGAAAGTTATTTTCGTCATCTGAGATCAGGATTGCGTCGTCAGCATAAAAAGGAATTTTTATTTGTTCTGTGCCCAGTTCACATCTTGGACCTGTAGTTTTAGTTCTTTGATTTTGACAATATGGGGTCTAGAAGTAAATAAAAAGAAAACCGAATACCTGTGCATTGGGAGTAGAACAAAAAGATCTCATATTAGACGATAGCATCACGATAAAGCACTGCTGTGACTACAAATATCTAAGTATCACTATTTCACAAGATGAAACATTAGACAAAACCATAAGAGAGAGAGAAATACGTCAGGGAGAAAAGCCATCACAATTTTAAACAGCATTTTATGGTACCAATCGATCAGCAAAGAAAATAAAAAGAGGATATATGTAACTATAGTAAAAAGTATCACTTTATACAGCTGTGAGGTATGGCCACTGAAAGAAAGAACACTGGCAACGCTGAAAGCGATAGAAATGGATTTGTGGAGAAGAGCCGCAGGAAGATCTAGAAGAGAAAGGATTACCAACGAACACAATAAAGAAATAATGGGAATCAAACGAACAATCACAGATGACCTAACAACAAAACAACGTATCTGGTTCGGACATATACAAAGAATGGATGAACAACGAATACCAAAAGAAATATTAAAATGGCAACCAGAAGAAAAGAGAAAACAAGGTAGACCGAGAAAAAGTTGGAGCGAAGGAATAAATAAAGAACTGAGGGAGAGGGCCACAGAAGAAGACCTATGGAACAACCAGACTAAGTGGCGATTGGAAGTCGGAAAACGGCGAAGAACGATATAAACCGTCAATTAGTAGTAGTATTTTGACAATAACTAAATTGAAGAGCAGTAGGCTTAAGCCCCCTGTTGGATCCCCTAGTTGATATATTTCTTAGTTAATTCTCGAATTAACTGAGACGTTCTAGTATTGTGAATGTTCGAACCCAAGAAACTTTTAAAATTATTCTATAGCACCAGAAGTACGCAGAACACCAAATACATTTTTATATTTGTAAATGAGGTTTCTCCTCTTTAAGGATTTTACACTCTTTTCATAGAGTGTAAAATCATGCATATGGACCGTGTTCCATCTCTTTAGTAAATCGTGTCCAATATTATCTTAGAATGAATGAAATTTCTTGTCTCTTTGTATTGTTCGGTCTTAGTTTTTTTTATTGGTGTACACTCCTATGCTTTCTTTTTTGCCAACAGCTAGTTTGGATTTCCTCCTCCTTTTGTTACTTTACGAGTTTATCCGAAACCTTTCTTTTAAACGTATACAGCTATCCCACAGTCCGATTCCTGGAGATTCTATGATTATTTTTTTACAGTATTTGGGTGGTTTTTTTTATTAGAAGTATTTTGATTGTCAATGATCTTGTACCGTATTGATTGCATTATTTTTCCCAAAATCGCATTATCAGTGAGTTATCTTATATTATCTAATGATTTGTTGATAAACAACGTTATTTTGCGAATCCAACGCATATTTAATATAAATCATGATAACGAATATACTTTATTGCAAAGCTTTCAGTATGCTATTACAGTCAAACCTATTAGACGCGCTCGAGACGCATCGCCAAGCCCCTCATTTTTTTTCTTATTGGTTCATGACCTGGAAATCCCTATTTATCGCTACATCAGCGTGTATAAAAATAGGCGATTTTCAGATCAACCAGGTCAGTCCTTCACGGGCTCTCCGAGAGCTTAGTGCTCTCGGGGCTCTGCTCTTGTTTTTAGCTTTATCCATACTCTATGTATGAGATGTTATTCTACTGCAACCTGGTATTTTTATTTCGACTTAACCTTTGTCATGTAAGAAATATCTTGCCTTTTTCAAGGCAAGATACCAGAAGAAAACATTTACGAGTCCATACCCTGAAAATGGACTTAAGTAGAGGAGCTATCGTTGATGTTTTCGAAGCCCTCTACAGAGCACCCGGAGGCATTAGAAGGCGTTTTCCTTCTTCTGAATCCTTTTCATTTCCCCCGAGGTGACTATATCAGGTAAACAGCCCTCAAAGGTCCAAGTTTCCTTGGATAGAAATTTTCCTCCACGCCTTCTTGTCCATAGGTTTGGTTTCCCATTCTCTCACGTTTATCTTTTTTTAGATCTTCTACGGCGTCTAACAATTTTTTATGGGTCCACCCTTCCATTTTTCTCTGCTAACGTCCTCTTAAATATGTTCTTTGTTACCCTGTTCTTGGTACAATCCTTCTTTTCTTTTTCTTGGCACTATTTTGGATTTTAGCACTTTCAGCAAGGCTTATGTACTTCTGCTGAATTTGTTTATTCTATGGTTAGTTTCTCTGCTTTTTTCATTTCTATTCATATCTTCTCGTGTAGGAAAATGTTCAAATGAATAACAAAATTATATATTATTATACAAATAAGATGACAGTAGTACTTACATGCACTCATCAATTGCCAGCAAAAGGCAACTAGGATGCCTGGCCACTTCATTTTGTCTTTATCGTCCCTGGCATAACGTACTGATCTGTGATATGAAGTTAACGACCAAGCTATTGACATGAGGGCTACCAAGACAGTCCATGCTTGTAGTACAGCTATATCTATAAATTTAAAATATTAAAAAATAAAATATGTAACATAATGTTGAAAATATTTGTCAAAATTTAAGCTTAGCAGATTATAATTTCAGTGTGGAGTATGACATAGTTTTTAAAGGTTACAATACCGAATGTACAATAAAAGAACACTACCTTCGCGACTATAATAAATTGGATCTCAAATTTAAGCCATGATGCACAAAACTCGCTAATCACAGATAACTAGGTATTGTTTTCCCCCAGATTTTGTTTTTATGCGACTTACGTCATGACCTCATATTTCATTTCTATAAGATCTGTCTTGGATAGGTTATCTTTTGCCTTCTACTTGGATTCCATTAATTTTTTTGAAGATCAGAGACTTCGTTTAGACGTTTGAAATGTGGATGGAAGTGTATTTTTAAAAGTTTCAGTGTTTTCTTTGATTTGTGTTGGATTTTTTGTCTTGTTAGCTCTTTGAGTTGTTTTCAAAATTTGCCACCGTATCGGCAATCCAGATTAGCTGTCACATAGCTCTACTGTTGTTGTTTCAGCTTGATCGAAGCCGGGAGGTGGTTGTATTCAGTTTTGATTAGTGGGTGTTGAAATCTTTTATATACTCTCTGCGCTTAGTTTAGATTTTAACGAAATTCTCGGTGGTAAATCACTAGTGTGCAAAAATTAGGCCAAGTATTACTACCACCATATAATATTTCTCGACAATTTTCCATCTCACTGTCTTATTGGTGGAGTTTATATTATTGGTTCTTCGAGCTTTCGCAGCTTTCCATTACGAATGGAAATACATATGTATACTAACTTATGTATACTTAAATATGTATATTTGTCGATATTTAACTCTCTAAAGTAGATACTAAATGTTTCTTCCTTTTTAATTTTTTAAATTTCTCTTTTTAAATTTTCTCTGGCCTTATTAAATTTAGTTTTATACATATAAAATTTAGTTTTGTTACCATTTATTTTTCTCAACTTCCTTTTTTTTCTGTAATAAGTCTACTCTTCTTGGGGGTAATTATGTACTTCTGTTTTCTGTTTTATCATTGATGTAGTTTTCTAGACAGCTTTCTGAACATTTTCTGAAATTACAAGCTTAAAAGTTTTTCCTAGTTATACTAAATACCTAAAGTCTATTCTGTGGGTATTACAAACTGTTTAAAATACATGTTTAATCATTTAGAGATAAATGAGAGACATTAATGATCTACGAATCCTTTGAAATTTGTACATTAAAAACAACGTGACAATTTACAGAATTTCCTTTAATTTGTATTCACTATGTTTATGTTAAATTATTTTATTTATTTCAATAAAACAAAGATTAAAATATATTCAAAAGCCTTTACTATGATTTTTAAGATTGAAAAGTGACACTAAAAGCTATTAATATTATTTAAATAAAATAAAATGAAGTATAACTTACTTATGTTTAAATTAGGTTTTTCTGGATGAGCAACATGACTGAGCAAAATGACCAATTGTATTATGGCTTGAGGAGCAGCATGTAAAAAACAGTGGAACAATCTCAAAAGGGCACTATTCGTGTCTTCGTCCAACATCCGACGATACAAAATGGTTTGTTTAGCCTCATTACCAGTAGAGGCTTCTATTTTACTTCGAATACCGTAAATTAGTGTATCTATGTACCTCAAAAGAGGAGACAGTTGGAGCAAAAGAAATATTATTCTGATGATCCATTGCGACACTGAGATACGGTCTAAGGTGGGATCGTCGTGGTCTACAATATACCTGAAAAAGAAATTCGTTGTCAGTAACTTTTTACGCATTAAAATTAAACAATATTCAATATAGTGATACACCAGCATCTTCTAAAATTTTCGAAACCCAAAAAACGCAAAATCTTAATTATTTTATTTATGTTTCTTAATAGCGCCAAAACCCTTTAACCCCTTACTAATTTAATAAAAATATCTTATATTTGGGTAAAAACCCGGTAAATGTAAATAATTTAAATTTAGGTTACATTATTCGATCTTATATATTAAGATGTTAAAGTTACCAGTGGAATTGATAACATGGCGATGGCCTGTTTTGATGGATCTGTCTTGATTGAATCTGGTCAATTGTTGATTGTTCTGGTGGAGTCTGGCCTGGTATTTTCCAACAATGAACACTGTGTAAACTTGTAGCCTTTCGTAGAGAATATTTGCTAGTATTTTGTAAGCAGTTATACAAGGTTACAATTATATGTTAAAGAAGCTTACAATTGTTAATATCACTGACTGCTACATATCTTTTTGAAGTAACATACTTAATAACTTTATATTGGATGTTAGGTTTTTCATATTGTTCTTTTTAGATGAACTGATGATGCTATCAAATTGGATAGCGAAACGTTTTCAATAAATAGATGAAGTAGCCATCCACCTTTGTCTTTTTTCTCCAATTTTTGACCGAAAAATACCCGCCACTCTTCGAGTGATCCTTATTTTATATTGGATTGACGGTCGTACTCCTTTTCTCGATATATATACACACACACATAATATATATATATAATATATATATATATATATAATATATATATAATATATATTATATATATATATATTATATATATATATATATATTAGGGTGCTTAGCTTTTCGTTAGAACTCTGTTTTGGTTTCCAAGTCTTTATCTTCAGTGGGGCGATATACAGTCAAAATCGTTTACAACGACACCGGCTATAACGTACAATCGGATATAACAAACAAAATAGTAGGTTCCATAAAATGACATACAAAAAACGCATTTATATTGCTTATAATGAACAAATCGGTTAGAGCAAACGTATTTCTTGGAACACTAGTAGTTAAAATATTGGTTACAGCGTACATCTTAATAAATAAGTTTAAAAGTGCTATCCTGTAAAGTTATGAAAATGGACATTGTAGTGTTGTATTTCTCACAGGTATTACCGATATTTAATACCACGAAATGAGAAGTAAGGATTTATTAATTTATGGTTATAGTACATCCGGACAGGCATCTACTGTCCTTTAGACAGTTAGACCTCCCAAGACGGGGCCATTGTATTACAAAATATTGTTTATACATATTTCACCATTTGGCCTAAGCCAAGAGTTTCTGAATTTGAATTCAGTTGTGTCTAGCCTTCATTGAAAAAATGTCACGGAAACAATTTACTATTGAGGAACAGTTTGGAATAATTTGCCGAGTCGATTCCGGTGATTCCGCGAGTTCGATTGCCCGGGAATTTAAAACGTCACGCTCGACAATGGCTGGAATAATGAAAAGGCGAGAGAAAATTATTAAGCAATTTAATAAGTGTGAAAAAGGAAAACGCGTTCGGTCATCAAATTACAGTGACATTGAAAGTGCTTTGCTCGATTGGTTTAAACAACAACGCGCAAACAATGTACCCGTGAGTGGGCCGATGCTTCAGGTAAATGCTGACGCTTTCGCTGTAATTTTGAAGAAGAATTTTAAGTGTAATGCTTCCTGGGTTCAACGTTTTCGAGCTCGCCACAATATTGTCCATGGAAAAATTTCAGGTGAGTCAGCAGTTGTTGACAGATCAATTATAAATGACTGGGTTGAAAAATGGTCCGACTATAGCGATGATGAAATTTTTAATGCTGCCGAGATGGGGTTATTTTTTAGACTGACACCTGATCACACGTTAAAGTTTAAAGGCGAGAAATGTTCCGGTGGTAAACTCTCAAAAGAACGCGTTACAGTTCTTGTTGCAGCCAACATGTCCGGTTCCATAAAAAGGAAGCTTTTGGTGATAGGAAAAAGTAAAATGCCGCGCTGTTTTAAAAATGTGAAAAATCTCCCTGTTGATTATGATTTCAATAAAAAAGCCTGGATGACGTCATCTATTTTTGAAAAGACTTTACTAAAATGGGACAGTGAACTTTTACAACAAAAGAAACACATAATTTTAATTGTCGACAACTGTCCGTCCCACCCCCCAGTTGACAGGTTAAAACAAATTAAACTCGTTTTTCTGCCTCCAAACTTGTACGTCTGTACTGCAGCCCATGGACCAAGGAGTTATAAGAAGTCTTAAAGCAAGCTTTCGGAAAGAATTGGTGTACAAAATCATCGAAAAGAGAGAGAATAACGACGATACGAAAGTCAGTATTCTTGACGCTGTACTAATGATATCAAAGGCATGGGAATCTGTGCGGAAGGAAACGATCATCAACTGTTTCGTTTTTCCGGCCTAACTAAAGACTTACAACCATCAGGAATCGCATACAACTATATTGCACAAACGCATTTGCAGGATGCCATTTCCCTTTTCAGTTCTGACTGAGTCACCAAACTAGTGACAAACAATTGGAAGATTTCGGCAAAATCCCTACTGTTGCTGAAGCGTATGCTGCTTGTTCCACCATACGAGCATTTATTCAGACTGCTGAAACTTCCCAGAGTGTAAAAGAATCATTATCGATTGTTTCCACATCAATGGAAAAAATGTTTTTTTCAGAAGTTCAAGGAAGGCGACAAACAAAAATTACAGACTTTTTTCATTAAATATTCAGGTAAAATGTATTTACATATTTTGTAATACATATATGTATGTATTTTTTTGTCTTTTTAAAATAAATAGTATATGTATGCCTACATTTTTATAATACGAAGATTTGGAGAAGCCGTTATATTATGTGTATACTTTATTCACTACTTATACTTATTTCAATACATATTATACATATATGTATGTACATATTTAGATTTGCTTAAGTACAATAAACACATATGTTAAATGTTATGTATATGTTGTTATAACATATTATAAGTATAGTTAAAGTAACACATTTTTGCGTCATAACCCTAGGTACAACGAACTAACTGTCCCTATTAGTGTAATATCGTTTATAGCAACCTGTTCATTATAACCGATAGAACTGCTTACAGAGAACACTGGCTACAACGTACAAAAAGCACCAGTCCCCTGAAGTTCGTTATAAACGATTTTGACTGTATATGAATGAAACTTGTCTTCCTATACTTTCCTGTTACTCTCAATATTCATATGTCTTATATTGGTTAAAAATTTACAACTGCTTTGTTTTACTTTCTCCGATACCATGAATCCCACTCCAAAATATCTCTTGGTTCCCCCCACTCTTGAGCAGTGTGCTCTATCCTATTTTTATTAGTTCATTTGCTAGTTGTTTCGTTTTTTGCAGGGCAAGGATATCTATTATATATTTCTCCATAACTTGGTCTAAGTTTCTTAAAGCTCCCTGTTCATAAGTACCTCTAATATTCCAAGTCCAATTTTTATTATATCCTTGAATTGTTGCCTTTATTTTGTATTTATTTTTCCGTTTTCCACGGTCGTATTCCTTTACCTTGCCGTTTCGGTATCATATCTCCCCGGTTTAATTTAATTTTATTTAACTTTTATTTTATTTTATTTTGGTAAAACTACGACGTTTGTTAAACGTCATTTTATTTTTATAATAAGTGTATATGAATATAAAATCTTACCTTAGAATTACAGTAACCTATATTTTTAACAATTTTGCGAAAACAATTAATCACTAATAAAATAGATAAAATTTCCGAGTAGGGCTATTTCAATCATCAATTTGTAGAATGAATTAGCAATAAATCGTTTCGTTTCAATTAGCAATAAACCGTATCGTTTCAAGAATAAAATATGATTGAAATGTCAGATGTTGGTAGTTCAGATTTCTTTCCTAGGTGGCGTAGTTACCCTACCGGACAAACAGTGTGATTTGTCGTCCTAGCTTTTTATATAGATATTTTATTTAATAAAAGAGAAATAATCGTATTCTTTAGACAATTTTGATGTGTATTTAATAATTGTGTAATTTCGTTTTTGGAAAAGGACATCCTACTGTAATTTACACTTTTGTTCTATATATTACCGCATAGTATTATTTCTTTGAGTTAAATAACATTCCCACTCCTGTTTTATTTGTTCTCTTTAATATTCGAGTAACTTTCTTGTTCTTAAATATTATCCTGCTGATAATCTTCCGTTTTGCGACTATAATAACTATCTCGACATTGTGCCTGATGATTTTTATCCGTTTTTATTTCTGACAGGTTATTTTCTTGATTACTTTCGTTTCTGTTGCTGTTTTCTTTAAACAATACCACTAAATGGCTTACCCGTTTACTTTCTGATAAACTGTTTTTATTAACTCGCCATTTCGTTGCGACGTTGTTCATACAAATCTAGACATTCGTTTTGGTGCATAATAAAATCTGTTTACATTCAATCTGTAAACAGTTTCTGAGTTTTATTTTATTCAAATTTTATTGGTTGCCTTGTACGCCGTAAATAAACTTGGAGACAACAGCAAGATGATAGGATTATGTTATGATTATACAGTACTTACAAGATAATATACCGAAACTAACGAGCTGTTTTTCTCGCATACATCATGAAGCAGTTATTATCATCAATTATTTAATGAAAGGGAAAAAATTCCACGTGCTAAACGCAAACAAACTGTTTTACCTTTTTTACTAACAGACAAACATGATCCCGAAGGGAATAAAAACATTTTATTATTAGTGCAACAGCAGGCAACGTTCCTCCATGCAAACAGAACATACTATAATTTTTCTAATAGGATTAAAGAGAAAAAATATAGAATTGTAATAATTATAATACTTTAAAAAAGCTATGATTAAATTAATTATTCTTAAGGGAGTAATATTCATGTCTGTTGTCTGCCTAATTTTTTAGAACACCTTTTATAATATACAGTATTGGAACCCCAACAAACAG